GCTTCTGAAACGACGTTTTTCAATAGCGTCAAACTAGAGAACAGCTTGCGAAATAGGTGGTGGCGAGGGTTAGTCAGTCTTTCTGGCTTAAACATGCTGTTGAGAAAGCTCGGTGTTTAACTGCATCATCGTTATCTCAAGCAGTACCGCTTATATTCTGGGTATATGGCGAGCAACCGAAGTTTATGACAATGACTTTGTCGTATATTCGACCTCAGAGGTGTTCTCTTGCTTGGCTTCGTGGTTGGTTTTTTGTGTTAACAAATCAGAAAGTTTCAAATGAATCAAAATCGAAGAAATAGAACGGTTACAAAGAATACGCTCAGGCTTGACCATTAGCCTGTTAAGTGCACATAGTTAAAAGACTCGCATATGGATAAAGAGAACACTCACCATCTGCTCACCGTTTTCATTTGTCTTGTTTATGGGGCGCGGTTCGGTGAGAAACACCCAGTTATTCATGAATAATGGGAACGACTGGAGAACGAGCACGATGGCGCCAACGACGGCAGCGCCAGCGAAGAGCACGTTATCGGTGCATCGTGCTTCGATGATACACTAAAACGAGTCTGATTCCATCTGAGTAGCTTCCGCACGAGCCGGACGGGTCCCTCACCTTCGATATTTTCTCGCTCATTCGCGATGTGCCAGCATGCGTGATCAGGTCGGCCGTTCGGCGCAGTGCTGAATCGAAAGCTGGACGAATGAGCACAGAAGGTTTGGGCGCGCTCATTTTCTATGATTGTTCCTAGCGCCATTTCCAATTAGCTTTCGCGAGGTAAGGAACTGCAGTCAATACCCCTCACACAGGCTAACTTAGTGCGACTCATGTGAGCCGGCAATTTCTTGCAACCGACTGGCGCCTGATGCAATCGTATCTCTACGAAAAAACGCAGAGTGTCAATGGTACCAAAATTGGGAGAGGACATGACACATGACAAACATTATGCACTACACTTCACACGAAATAAGCTGCAGTAGAGTGCGGATGCATCTACGCCAAGATGAGTTCTTAAATCAAATTATTTGCCTGTTAGATGACTGCGGCCCCCTTCGGCACTAAAGCAATTTCACCTCCAGCGCTGCATGTATTCTGAATATATGTCCAACGGTATGCGGTATGAAAAAGTCGCCAAAGTTGATAAAAACTTTTTAACAACAGAATCTCTACCAAGCACAGGTAAGTCCACTTTTTCGGAGAGAAGATACCTGTGCGCAGTTTTCTGCAGCAGAAACTCTCACTTTGATAAGCTGAAACCAAATAACTGCTTGTTGATTCGATAATAGCTGGCAATTTCATTTGTTCGTTTCATCAATAGTTTCACATTCGTCACAGGGGAGCGCTGCCGTAGCGCATATTTCAAAAGCAAAATCATGCACACTCATAAAATACAATTTTCGACAAAACACTGCAATCACTGTGGTGATAATTATGTAATTATCGAATATTTTCTTGTTTTGTGCAAGAGCGTTGATTCATTGCTTAATTTAAGTAACTCCTCGACTTTTTCCAGACAGGGCCGGCTCGAGGTGGGCAAATGACAGGCTGGAAATCGTTTT